TACCTAGCAACAACTAAAACATCGGTGCCTTATCAACTTTGTTCTCACCCTAAATCCAAAACACAGCACTGTACCAGCTACTAGGAAGGAAATTAACTCTATCCCTGCCGAAACCAGGACAGAGATAAAAGCCCAAAATGGGATCTTCAAAGTACCCCAGCAACCGGGAGGCAGATGTACCAAGCGAGACTGAGCCTTAGCCCACCAACATCTAGAGACTGTTTGGAAGCCATTGTATGGAACCCTCTCCTACACTCCTTTCATGGCTAAATCACGTCCCTCTTTTGCCCAAAGAGAACTGTATCCCTAGCCCCTAACAGCAGACCCACTTCACCAGTCTGTAAGCTACTCTGTATCAGGGCATCCGTCATGTCTTTGAAATTGCTCCATTGTTCTAAAGTGAATACAATGGTCTTGGGAAAACACTCCGACCAGTCAGGTTCTGATTCTTCAGCACTGAGGCGAGCATTTCATTAGCTCAGGGGTATATAGCAAGCTCTGCTGAGCTATTTGTTCCGCATCCTCATTCATTCAGAAATAGATCGGCTCTAACTGAGCTGTGAGTTTATCAGAAGAACTGATAAAAAGAAAAAATGCAAACAAAAAAAGTCACCATTGTCTTACCATCAGCTGAAATGCCCTTTTTGTTGCCAGTACGCTTTACCGTTTCCCAAGTTCTGTTTAACACAGAGAAAAGAACAAATGAATACATTAAAAGGAACAATATCCATTTTATTTGTAAGTCTTCTTCTACCCTTGCTACTGTCATTTAAAAGCAAAATATACCATCACACAGTGAGGCCCCATAAGAAAACAGCTGGCCTTAGGCAAGCCCTGTCATGTACTGGCACTACAAGATGTCTGTAGTATAATTTTGTTTTGCCTACTTAAAGGAGGGAGAGAGAAAGACATAAATGACTGTCACAGAACAGGCAAGTCTTATAAAAGCGATCCTGGAAAAGTGCAGAATAACGCAATTTATATATTAAACATGTCAGATTTTGAAAGACAGTTTTGTAGCAAGACCACATGCATTCTATTTTTTATCTTGCTTTTGCATAACGTTTACAGTGTAAGTTATTGTGAACTCCCAGCTCAGTTACTTGAGCACACAAGGAGCCTATAGGCAAGGAAGACCAAAGCTTCACTCTCAAAATAAGCAACGGGATGAGTAAAAACCAAAAGTCCATCAGCAATAAAATCCTTTCCTCCAATCTTTGCTATTTTTTACAAGGATACTTTGCTGATGAACTGGGAGGCACTAGAGAAAGCGATCAGTACAGAATCTAATACATTAAGGGGCAGGAAGTAAAGCCGTGTTGTCGCATCTAGATAAATACAGCAAAACTAAAGCATAGAAAGAATTGGACAGGCGTGGTACCATACAAGAGGACAGCAACTTGTCAATAGTATGCAAGATCCAGCACCATCAGCAGGGAAAAAGAAGCCCTTAATGAAGAACCCGAAAAGCCACAGGACGGGCTCTCTGATCGTCACACTCCAGTTGCACAGCTAGAACTTGCTTCTGCACAGCGTCTTTACAAGGAACAGAAAATGCAAGGTAAACCATGTGCCCAAAAGAATTTGGAGCCAAATTTGATCCCACATGCTAGCACATCTGCAAGAGTAGGATTTTTTTTCTCTGAACAGTACAAACTATAAAGGAATTGCACAATGGCTAGACCTCATCTTGTGTTGAGTAACAGGTTTGTAATGCTCATATTCTCTAGCCTGAGGCTAGTCCGTACAATTGGGAACATTATATGAATCTGAAACGCCAGAGAGGCAATTACCTGGTTTTACCAAAGGGATCAGTGTAAGTTGTTTCTTCAAGCTTCACCCATTTTCCTTCTACAATTACCTAAAATAAAGAATTCTTTGTTAAATACATTATAAGATTAATCCCAAAGATATTTGGGGGCTAAGGGGAAAAACAACATGACTATTTTTGGATTCTTTTGAAGACAAAATCTCAGCATCAGAATACACGCAGGAACATTCCTGTAGCTATTACGGAAAAACACATTTACTCCAAGTTCTTGAATAGGAATAGAAAATAAGCCCAGTAACTTTTCTTAATGTGACTTTTATAACCACATTTCAATGAATTTGGTGGGATTTTATGTACTGGAAAGTCCTCATCTTTTTAGAAGGATTTCGCAAAAGTCACGTTTCAGCTGAAAAAGGGTCACTGGTCTGCACAGGCTTTAGCTACGCTGGTGGTTACGAGTGCCCACTTATCAGACAGCACGGCCTAATAGCTAAGCATGCAAGATGGAAATCCGAACTATTTTGAAACTTTTCTTGCCGCGATCTCATACTGTGGCTTTGCGTAACCGCTGTTACTGTAACTGCGAGCAGCGATACATACCTGCCCTTTTAGGACTTCTGAGAGCTGCTGATTGAGTGCTTGGCATTAACATTGTTACAAAATGTCTTTTCTGAGCTAAGTGAGTTTATTTGCCCTGTGATGTTTCCTCATCTTTTCTGTAATTCCTTTAAAAGGGAAAAGTCCCTAGGTGTTAGCCCAGCACTTTACTTCTTTTAATGTAACTTGTATTTTAAGCTTTGCTAAAGGTGTAGGCAGACAAGAAGCTTGTCTCCAGAATTTTCTATCAAGTTGGTCATAGGTCTGACCACAGAAATCAGAAGTAATCGGTAAGATGAACAAATCACTTCCTATTGTCTAATGAGACACACTGCTGACAGCAACGGAGCAAGCATAAGCGAGGGGAAAAGGGGATCTGGGAAAAAAACCGCAACATTAAACTGTAGCAAAGGATGAAGTCGGAGAGGCCATTCATGTGGCTGGCACGCCACAGTCCTCTATCGCAGGACAAGGAGCACACAGGGCCCGTGCGGCCATGTAGATCTTGAACTTAAAACCGAGAGATTCACTGGCTAAAAAAATAATGTAGAGAGATGAAATGTAGTATATGATGCAGCTATAACTAGAGTATAGGAGCACAGTACCGCATCAGCTGGAGGCAGAAGGCAAGTGAGAAGTGATTCAGGTGTCCAGTAAGTTATAACTGAGCTGGATGAACTCACGTAATTCTTAAAATGTGTTCTTCAGAACAATTCTTTTGATAGGCATTCGAAATAACAATAGCACTCCTATGATTGTAAACGCAGCTACATGTATTTCACATCTAAGCACTTTGGCATTTATTTTGTAAAGTATAGTATTTCCACATAACAGGAATTGGAAAAGGAGAGCTGTGTGTTCTCAAAAGGGCTTTCTAATGGCTTTGTGGTCACAAAAACAGCAGGCAAGGAGATGATGAAGTATATTATGCTCATTACAGGTGCAAGAAGTAATTCCGTTCGGAAGCATTCAGGTGTATTTTAAATAGCTTTGCATTCACTCCTAAATCACTGCAGAATTAGAGCACAGGAAGACCCAAAAGAGAAACAGATGAACATCAAGTTCCATTGGTTGTCCAAGGAGAGGAATATATATACTTCAGTTAAGTAAACACAGCCAAATGTTTTGCGTTAATGAATTTTTTTAAACATTGCAGAGAACACAAAGGACTAGGTTATTGATCGTGGTCCCACATTGCTGCAGCATTCAACAGAACTGGCAGATCATTACCCCTGTCACCAGGTTATCGTTTGCTAAGCAGAAAGGGGGAAATGGCTGAAATCAGAACCACATCGCTGTCCCCAGGAATCTTAGAGGAAAAAGAAACCCCTAGTCTGTAAGAAATTAGACCTAGCCAAGCTCCAAAAAGACAAAAAAAAAAAAAGTAGGTTTTATGTGTACAAGACAACGTCAAACAAAATGTCTTGTTTTTAATCAGATATTCTTAAATACTGCTTTTGGCCTCTACTGTCATGGAGCAATAATTAAAAAGTACCGTAGGACATGTAGCATAAATATTTACAATGGACGTGTTCCACAATCCTCTAAAGTTTGGTGAAACTCTTGATGCTAACGGCCTACAGGGTGAGAAAACTGAAAGTTGCCAGGTTTCCCTGGAAGAAAAAGAGAATTTTGTCACCCGCCTTGTCGGGCGCACAATTAAAACTTGCGGAAGCTGGCCCAGAAGCATAACTTCTGCTTTGCTAAATCTCCTATTTAGGGCCTAAGGACACTTGGCAGGATGTGTTGCACTTGCCACACTCAGTTTTAGAATGAGTTATTTTTATTGCTTTATCTATTACTTTGATGGGCAAACAACATCTGCTTACAACAGCCTGACTGTGGGTTCCCAGAAACAGGAAGAAGGATATAAGACCAGCTGCTACTTTCATGGAAGAAAATATTCCAACGTCAGACCACATAGTTGCTGAAGAGTTACTGAACCACTTTTAATATAAGGGCCACTGGCAGAGGCACGGTAAATACTCTCCTGTATTAATCCCACAAAATGACTGAAAAAACTAAATAGCTTAAAATACGTAAGATCTAATTACAAACTTCCAATGACACCAAGAAGTACAATGTTCTGAAGGAGAAGAACTAAGAGGCATTATGGAAAAAAAAAAAAAAAGGATAAAATGAAAATGTTACCTGCAAAAACACAGGTCTTAACAGAAAACCCAAAAAGCTTACAAAAATGAAACCGTTATTGCTTGAGAAATATTCATATTAAAAAAACCACCCAAAGGGAAAAGCCATAAATGTATCCCAACAATGTGAGTTTCTTCTTTCGTGAAAAAGTTTTGTACCTTGAAAGCTAAAGAAACGACAAGACTCTGTTCATTCCAAGGAAGGAACGCTGGATAAAAGAAACTACATTTGTGTTATAACAACAGCGTGGTGCTGTTGCCAAACTTGCCTTTAACACCAAAGATTAACTTTTAAGAATTCACTTAAAAGAGAACAGAAACAAATGTAGGTGGTTTAAATGAGGGTGAAAGTGCTCCTAATAAGCACCCAGAAGTATCTCCAAATTCCTTTCTCAGGACCTTATATTTTCTGATTCTGTGAAGATGCAACCGTAATATTTTTGGAAAAAATCTTACTACCGCCTTACTAATGTCTTTAGAACAGCCATTATCTAAATTCAAACCCTTTCAGAAAGCATCATCAAAGAAGGTACAATCCTAAATGTTAAGGCAACTCTTAGTAGTTCACCATCTTAAAGGAACGGAAAACAAGGCTGAGTTTCATGATCCACTGATTTTTACAGCCTCTCAGAGGTATCAGCATTATTTCTGAATACCGAAAACAGCCCGAACAGACAATACAAGAAACAGCTGCAAAATAAAAAAAAAAAAGCTTAAAATAATGCAGCACTGTAGATTTCTCTCTCCCCATTGATAATTTGTATGATTATTTCAACAAAGAGAAATGCCATCTTTTTTAAACTCTCTGACCATCAGGAAGCAGTGTTTTGTCTATTGAATAGATTTTACAAACATACAGCATCTATAGCATTTCGTACTCTGCACTCACAAACATTCTGATCAGTCTCTAATAATTGTTTTTTAACAATAAAACATGTCAAAACCAAGCATGTTATACCTCTTCCTTAAGGACGAATTGTCTAGCAGTTTTTGGAACTTCTGTGGATGTCTCAGCTGCCATTTTCATAATCTGGACTTTGCACAGAAGGGGAAAAAAGTCAATATTTGCTTTCAGAGTAAAGTTAAAAGGTTCATTTCTGCATTCTAAGTTAACAAAACTTGCTGGAGAAAGTTAGGGACATGTGATGGCAAGTGCAATTCACATTTTCAGCTCCACCTGATGGTTTCAGAGTCAAATAATTCAAAGGAGAAGCAGAAGTTTGCGTCAAATCCCTGACTTAGCATAGTTGTAATAGTCCTATCGGCCGCTGAGTAACTATGCTGGCTGAAGACACCCTCCTTAACTATTCAAAGGTCAGACACACACACACAGAGACAAAATGGATCCATTTCAGTCAAATTGTTTCATTCTGATCTGGGTGAAGTGCTCTGTCAACACAGCATTACCACAACAGAACTACGCACTCCACCGTGAAAGTGGAAAAAAAAACTTATACCAAGAGGACTTCAGTGGTAAAAACTGCTATGGAGAAAGAATCAGAACTAGAACCTACCTCCATCTTACACACATCACAAATAAGCACGTAAATGACTCGATCCTTTCCCCCAAAAACAAGGTCAAAAAGTCACCCGTGTGTTGCAAGCCTAGGTGGCACGTGGAGTTGGTGTGACCAAAGCATGTCAGTCTCTCTTACGGGAATGATGTGGCTAACACCGTGCAGAAGGCAGCTGAATATATGCCCAAAGCAAGGCTCTGCACCTGCAGCTCAATGCCTCAGCCTGCATCCTAACACTCCCTAGGAGGATAAGATTGTCCACTCTCTCAATCCAGTTCTAGCTGAAAAGCACACCAGGCAGCAGAAAAATACGATGCATTAGAGATTCACCATTAGTCCCCTGTCTCACTGCGGAGCTACGGGGCACTTCCAGCACAGAAACTCTCATTCCAAGGAAGGTCATCTCTGATATTAAGTTGTAATACTGAAGTCCTGAAAATCAGCATGAATCATAAGCAAAAAGACAGTGCAAAGAAGCAAACCAGTTTAAAAACCAGGAGAGACGAGATCACCTTAAAGATCTCTATCATTCTTAGCGTTGATGGTCGTAAACTTTCTCTAAAGTCAACCGGAATCTTTCTGTTGACCTCAACTAGGGTTTAATAAGGCTCTGTGTGGTCTCTAGCAATGAACAGTACCAGAAGTGAGCGATCACCTTCTCTCTCATTCCCAATTTTAGCACTTCCATTTTTTACTTCATCTTTATCCTTTTATGGTAACATCTACTGCACATTTGTGAAACAGTTAAGAGCACGCAGCAATAATCAGCTTTCTTACATATTAGATTTGCATTTAATTCCACAAAGTAGTTAAAAGGAATAGGTAGTACAAAATATTTCTGGTTATCAGCAGGATTAAAACTAACGTACATAAATCCATTTCCTCAGTATGTACACAGGGCAGGCTCTTTCTTAAGTCTTAAGACAGCCTTGTTGGATGAAGTAGGTCATAGTGGTCAAACATTCAAATTGTTTTTACGTAACATAAGTCCTGAAAAGGAACCCTGACGTATTAAACCCAATTCTGTTCTTTCAAAAATACATTCTATAATCCTTTCTTAAAGCAATGAAGCTCCATCTTAAAACTACGTGGGTTTACTATCTACCTACCTTACTACTATTTGTATGAAAAACTGTTCTAGAACCTCACTTGCTTATCTTCCAATTTCTATCCCATGTTAGTTCAGTTAGCTGTTACCCATTTGTTCTTGAGCCAGCAATGTCTCAAACTCTCTTCACTTAGGGTTTAAGAGCTGTAGCTGGACAATAGCCATGGTCCCTTGCTGTGACTTTAAAATACAAGCTCAAACTTTCCACCAGACTTATGCAAAAGAAGCGCAGCCCAGCATAGCAGTTCCAAGAGGTTCCTGGTCATCCAGAGGAAACAGCCAAAGGAGGCTCTGTGTGATACCCGAAGTATACAGCTTTAAAAATATAAAAACCTCACATACCTAGCTACAACAAATTCACCTCCTATGTTTGGAAAGAATTATAGCCTTTTTGATCGACACTATAAACATATCAAGAGAGTAGACAGTGAACCATGTCCTTGTTAAACTTTTTTTGATCAGGCTGAGTAAGTCTTCCTCTTTTAGTCTCCCCTCGCAGGAAATCCTGTTCCATTGATCATAGAATCATAGAATCATTAAGGTTGGAAGAGACCTCCAAGATCATCGAGTCCAACCATCAACCCAACAACACCATGCCCACTAAACCATGTCCCTAAGCGCCTCATCTACACGTCTTTTAAATACTTCCAGGGATGGGGACTCAACCACTTCCCTGGGCAGCCTGGTCCAATGTTTAACTACTCTTTCAGTAAAGAAATTTTTCCTCACATCCAATCTAAACCTCCCCTGGCGCAACTTGAGGCCATTTCCTCTCGTCCTTTCGCCAGTTACTTGGGAGAAGAGACCAACACCCACCTCGCTACAACCTCCTTTCAGGTAGTTGTAGAGAGCAATGAGGTCTCCCCTCAGCCTCCTTTTCTCCAGGCTAAACAACCCCAGCTCCCTCAGCCGCTCCTCATAAGACTTGTTCTCCAATCCTAATCCTTCTACATAAGCTTGCAAGTATCAGTGTGCCCTTCTCAAACACACATTACCACAATTGTACCCTAAATCCCACAAGCAGCTGTAGTAATGGTTTGTACAACACCATTAATACTTAACTATATCACTTACAAATACATACTAGACCCTCATCTCATGGCAAAAGCTCTTTTCAACGCAGCTTGCTCTCTTCTGCAGCAGAGAGATTCAAGAGTGGCTTGCGACTTAAAATAACAAAAAATTATGCAGCTTCAGTGGTCTCAGTTATCACTAAAATCTAAAATAGGTGAAAGTGAGAGGAAGACTCATGGATCTCGGCTTCTGTAGTTTCGATCTCCTCCACAAGTGGGTGCAATAACTCTATGAGTGACATTTTAAAAAGTTCCACCAAAAAAGTACTTTTGCCAAATTCATTTGACTGTATAGAAGTGAGAATTTCTGCTGTTAGAAAGCTGAAATACCATTTGGTTAAATGAAGGCTGCAATTCTGGTACCTCACATTAGTCATACTGTTAAGGGTGACACCACCTTTCGTTCACAAACAAAACTAGCTGCAACTGAAAATTAAACTTAACACTACAGTGTTATGTTTCTAAAGCCCTACGTTAGGTTTCAGAATAGACCTTGTCTCGCAGCACTCAGACAGGAAGGTTATTCTATCTCATAAAATTACCACTGCATCATTTGAGTTAAAAATGCCACACAGCTTGCACAGCAGCCTGGGAACCTATTTATGACTATGTGAACTCTATGAAAATAATTTTTTAACAGTTATCAGTGCAATTTTAAGAGTATGTTGAAGCGTCCACATTTATCAGCCTTCTTAGCATGCATCAACAGCACTTGAACTGCAAATTATGGAAAAAAAAATGTTTGGCTCACTTCTACCTTCTCTGATGATTTTTGTGGCTAGTATTACAGGCTACGGCTGGCAAACCATGCTACTTGTTCCATTTCTTTCACGTGGGGCTCAAACTCAGAGCTGAAAAAGGCGTACCATTTATAAAAGGTGTAACTTTATTCCCATTGCTCATGCCCTTACTGAGTGGCTTCCTTTCAAGGCAACGTCCAACCATTCTACAGTTTCCAAATTATTCCCCCCAGGAGTTAAAATCTTAAGCCAACCGAGGCATGTGAATCAGCTTAGAGTAGCCAAGCTACCGGGGCTTTACATTAACCCATCCAAATCATGATAGATGGATTAACTTTTCTAACTCACTTTTCAAAAGGTATTCTCCGATCCAAACTACACATCCTAGCTGACAGCAACCAGATTTAATGGAAGCTCAGCAATGGTGTCCTAAGGCAAGCTCAAGATAAAAGAAAATACGGGGTTTCTTATAAAGAATGTGCAAAAGGGACACTGGCAGTGTTTTATGCACAAATTAACCAACAGCACACCAAGATACGTGCACTAAAAATAAACATCACTAAAGCTCCTAAAACACTTTAAACTTGTTACCATCAGTCAGTGCACTTGCATTTCAGCAATATGATACTAGCAACAAAACGAATTAATTAGCAGAAGTCAACAGGAGAGAGGGAGAAGGAAAAAGGTGAGGAAAATGTTTCCTTTTTGTCATGGTATTTAGCAGCGTGGATGACCCGCTCAGCACCAAATAAAATATGGAAAAATAACCGGTTCTCGCCCTGCAGAAGAAAGACTATCTTGCACAATCAGAAGAGGGTTAGCAGCATCTCCATATTGTTATCAACCTTCCAGACAACTGACGTGCGAGGCGGCCTGGGGAGACAGCCTCCAACTGCAGATGCGAGAGCACTCGAGGACAGCACGGGATGGAAAAGAGTCGGCCCTCCACGCGAGGGACACAGAGGCAGAACCACGGGGCTTAAAAAGAACGTACGATTCAGTTATTACTTGACCCTCCCCAAAATAAAACGAAATGCAGCCCTGCAAGAGGAGAGAGAGAGAGGAAGCTCTGTCGCTGCAGAGCTCCGCTGTAACACTGGAGAGAGGAAGCCTTCCACAAGCACATGCAAAGCAGGAAAGCGAAGCCTGCCAGGCGGGAAGAACACCCGCAGCTTCCCTACGGCCACCCGTGTTTTCAACGTATCCGCCTGGAAACCCCCCGCTCGGGCCACGCACACGTACGAGGCCGGGAGGGCGGCCCGGCAGCTGAAGGGAGCCGCTACCGCGGGCGGGCGGGTGCGGTGAGGTCGGGGACGGCCGGG